TTGGTCTTCTGACGATGGTTGTCTTTAACCCTCGCCGGCCGAGGGGGGGGGCGGGTGCCGCCCCCCCCCCCATAGGGTTTTTTCGCGATAGCTCCGAACACGCTGGCGATAGAGAGCTGAAACTTGGCATACCTGACCTTTGATCCAAGCCGGATCTTTTGACACCAACCGCATTTTTGGGTCAGGTCAGGTCACTGACCTATGACGTCATAAGTGAACCTCTGCACGGTCTTCAGATGTCGCAACTTCGCAACGCCCTCACTGCCAGAGGAGATGTCACAGGGAATTGAAACTTGCAGGATCTAGTATCCATTATGAGTCCCACAACTTGTATATCTCGGATTTTTCCTAAAGGTCATATGAGGTCAGGTCATTTTCGTGACCTCACCATTATAAGTCAATGGGGAAAAATTCAAACTGCTATTCTGGCGCCGGGAACGATCTCCAACTATCTCAAGCACACAGAATCGTGATTTGATGCACTCCTTGCAAGGTTAGATGCGTCACTTTTGCAATGTTGACCTTGCGTGACGTCATTTATGACGTCATCAAGGTCATATTAGTTTTTCGTCAATAACTCTTGATCAAATTGAGCTAGCGAGTCGGGAAAGCCACCAATGGACTCAGGAAGACCTGCCGAATCGAATGATATGCGACATGACCTCTTTCGACCAACTTCGTGACCTGGGGGTGCTGACCTGACCTTGACCTGAGGTCAACACCCCAAGTTGACCTGACCCGGACAAAAAGTATATCATTCGACGCGCCTGAGCGAGACGAACACGATGCTGCCAAAATCGGCGCTCTGCGGCCGTTTTTTGCGAAGTTATTCACCAAAAACGGAACCGTACCTTGGGGCACTTGACCTGACCTCAGAGGTCACCGGTTGACCTAGGACCTTAAAATCGGGTACCAATCTCTGCGTCTCGTAACGGCGCACACGCTCGTTTTTTCCGCGACGCGCTAGCTCCACCAGGGGCGAAACGGCGAGGGGGGGGGGTCGTACCCGCCCCCCCCCCCTCGGCCGGCGCGTATGTAGAAAACCAATAGGTCCGGCGAGGGTTAAATGACACGAGAGAACGAAACCGATTGTACACAATCGACGTTAGTAATCATAATTCTTGATTCCGATTTCTAGCATCACTGTCTATGGAACGCGAACCGCAGCTTCGTAGGCTGAATACAGTCAGGATAATAAAGTACACGGCTCATGGCTCGTTCAATTCTTTCAATTTATTGCATATCTATATATTTTTCCGTATTTCGAGGCCGAGGTTTACGTTTGTCATCGTGTGGCGATATTACCTATCTTTGTAAGAAACACCTATGATGATCGTCCACAGGTGTTGTTCGGGTGCGGTGCATTAATAAAGTCCCGCCGGGGTGACAGCAGAGGGCAGGACGGTCCGTTTTTACCGACGCTCACTGGGTGACGTTTCCTGCCCGTACAACATAAATTTATCGTGTTTAATTACCACACAGCAAGGGATGGTGCGCACCTGAGCCAGTCCCTGCCCCTGATACGGGGATCGGGCCGAAATAACACCGCTATTAGAGCATTATGAAGACGGCAACAATGAAAAATTCAGCCCCGGACGGCAATTAAAAGTAATTTATAACATCTGTCGGGAAGGCGTAACTCGTAAGAGCAGAGGCCATGCGTTGAAAGAGCCCGGCTTCCCGCTGGGTATGTTATGGGCTATTTGAGGTTGAACGTCAGAGATAAAAAGAGGTGGGTCAAATAAAACAGACTAATTAGTAGTTATCAGCCGCGGTAAAGATACACAAAATCACGAATCAGCATCATCATCATCATGGTGCAGCGCCAAACTATTATTGGTATTTGTAAGTTTCATGAGCCGAAAATATTGAGGAAACTTGGATCATTTGAAGGAATTTCTCATCGACTGAAACAAAGCTTCTCAAGCATTAGGTACAGCTGCAGCACACGAACAACATCGGACTGGAAAAGATGTCATTTTTAAGTGAAGATATTTTAGCGAAAAAACCTCTTGACATCGCAATGTGAGCACTCAAACGAGTTGTCCGGGAAAGGTGTTAAACAGCGCCACACTTTGTGCGTAATAGATGATACCATAGGCGCGCGGGAACCAGGGGGGAAGGCAGTGGGGGCAGCTTGCCACCCAACTCTGGGGCCGTGAGGGCGCTGCCCCCACAACTTTTAGACGGAATATCGCACTTTTTTGCAAATGTTTTCTTTTTTTGTTGAAAAAGCCAAGGGATAAAAAATAAGTGGCCTACCACCGGTGAGAAAACTAGATTTAGGGGGTATTAGGTACCCTATAGGCTGATCTCTATTACGGTGTGCCCCCCCCCCTCCCCCACCCTCCCCCAGTCTGAAAGTAGTTCCCGCGCCCCTGGATAATAAAGTTTGTTATAGGTACTATGAGAACCAACATTTGGTGCGGCTCTGAAATGAATAATGACCCCTAAGGTGGACAGAGGCGTCGTGGAAAAATTTCGTTACCTGTCAGTGTAAACTTGCTAAGACTGACAGGCGATTCGAACCCCACGATTGTCGCCCAGCCCTTGATCAATGACGGCGGGCTCGAGGGCAGTGCATCACTATTTGTCGCCGATGTGCCGTCGTTTGTCACGGATGCGCCGTTTCTGGCGACAGCTGTCACTGGCTGTGAAGTGACGTTTGTCAGGGAAATATATGATTGTCAGGCGCGTACAGATGGCACACGAAACCACCCAAACCGACCAATAGCGGTCGGTAGAACACGATCAGTCCTATCGAATGGACCGATTGAGCTCTCTGGAAAGATGTATAATGGGCAAATGCTAGATATTCCTTGTTTTATTTATAGAACGGGTGATTATCGTCCACTTGCTCAGGGATCCGCCGCCAAGCTGAAAATAGCCAAACAATAACATGAAGAATGAAGATTGTATGAACTTCTTACAAATTGCACATAGCTCATTTATGTTTCTGCTCGCGCTCGCCACTCCAGTGACTTTCTACAAAGGATGGAGACGGAAACTATACGAACGATAACCCTCGTCGTTTCGCCCCTGAAATGGGTAGAGCTTCCCCGAAGAAACGAAAAGTTGACCGTCATGGACACAGTAAATAACGTCACCTAAATACCACTTTTTTAACCCGCGCCTCGCTAGGGGGAGGGGCAGAATCTGCCCCCTCCCGTTTTTCGCCAATAACTTCTAAACGCGTTACGCCAGCGACGTCAAACTTTCAGTACCTTATCATACATCAATTTAACATGTTGTCTTAAAATTTGAGCGAAAGATCGTTCCCGGTGCTAGAATAGCAGTTTTCATTTTTCCCCATTGACTTATAACCCGCGCCCCAGTGGCGGTCTCCGCCAACTTCGCCCTAGTGGAGGGGGGGGGGGGCATATGTTACCACCCAACTCTAACTCAAAAACTAAGAGGGCTAGAAAGACGCGGTAAAAAGCAGTCGATAGCTCTCAATGCGTACGTTTGAAAGCATTTCAGTCATTTTTCATCTTATTGGGGTCACCAGAGGTCATCAAAGGTCAAAATTTGCCAATGGTCATTATATTTTTCAGAAAACATGCCGTTATCTCAGGAACTATGGTAGCTAGAAAAACGCATGGAAAAGCACTCGATAGCTCTTGAACTCTTCTTTTGAAAAGGTCATTATCAAAATTGACCTCAGGTCACTGGTTTAGCCTCCAGAGGGCAAAAACTTCAAAAATAGCTGTTTTTACGAAAAGTGTTTTTTTGACCATAACTTTCGACAACAAAAAGCCACGACATTTCTATTGCCAGAATCGTGTTCCTCTCGCCGAGACGCGTCGAATGAACTATAATTTGACCTTGAAAGGTCAACTTGAAAATTTGACCTCAGGTCAAGGTCATGACCTGACCGGAAAAGGTCATGTAGCATATCAGTCGATGCGTCTCGGCAAGACAAACACAATGAGACCATCGCCAGCGTTCTATCTCTTTCCAATCGCGAGTTATTGGCAAAAATCTGTTTGTAGCCTCAAATGACCTCGGATGACCTTTCTAGAGGCTATCAGCAAAAATGACACCCTGGTCATCATGGGTGGTCCAAATCATTGTGATTCTGAAATATTTGGACTATTCCTATGCGTACACACGGATCTAGAGGCATTTTCATTTTTTCTCCATTGACTTATAATGGAAAGGTCACGCCACTGACCTGACCTTAGGTCACGGATATAGAAAATCCGAGATATACAAATTGTAGGCGCCCATAACATCATGCAATCCACCAAGTTTAAAGCCCTTCTGACAAACACTGCAGGCTGGACATGATTGCAAACTTTTTTAGGCTTGGTCAGTTAACATGACCTGGTGACCTGACCTGACATGACCTGGGGTCAAAAATTTCACACATTGTCCAAAATTGATGTACCGAAATCTACCCCAAGCGGCGCGGCGCTACGCGCCGCGGTTTTTTATTTACACGCAAAAAACGCGACAGGGTCGTAACATATGCCCCCCCCCCCCCACTGGGGCGAAGGATAATGGCGAGGTCACGAAAATGACCTGACCTCATATGACCTTTAGGAAAAGTCCGAGACATACAAGTTGTGAGACTCATAATGGATACTAGATCCTGCAAGTTTCATTTCCCTGTGACATCTCCTCTGGCAGTGTGGGCGTTGTGAAGCTGCGACATCTGAAGACCGTGCAGAGGTTCACTTATGACGTCATAGGTCAGTGACCTGACCTGACCCAAAAATGCGGTTGGAGTAAAAAGACCCGGCTTGAATCAAAGGTCAGGTATGCCAAGTTTCAGCTCTCTATCGCCAGCGTGTTCGGAGCTATCGCGAAAAAACCCTATGGGGGGGGGGGGGCGGCACCCCCCTCGGCCGGCGAGGGTTAATGCAGAAATAAAAACAGGAACCATAATCCTTATCCATCAGCACAAACGAAGAATTTAGTGCTTTTCATCGGTAGTCTTGATATGTAAAGATACCGCAATCCATCCCAGACTTTCTGGCGAATGGCAACACAAAATAGATAATCAGCCATTTATTTTCTTGTGATTCGCACATCATCTTACCACTGAGGTCATGGACTCGCGTGCATAAATACACAAATAAATGCGTCCCCCGACTGCTTCGGACAAACTCAAGCCACACTGAAGTAGAATGCACTTTGTCGATACATTATCGACGAAACGATATCACAATCATCACGTGAATAGTGCAACGGATCATCAATTGCCACATCGATTGCCATGGTATATTATGCGCCTCAGGACTAGCAGTACAAAACGTGGACGACGCCGGGCGGTGCCACCAACGCAACACACACCTTCGCACAACATGGAGAGCAGCAGTTCCCGATGGAATGCGCACCGTTTCAGTGCTGGAACGACAGTGGGAATAATACTGGCGGAATGACTTTCCTCGACTTCCCTCAGCCTCAAATGTCATGCACTGATAAGCGCCGTATGACAATACAATGCGGTAATAAAGGTGACGCCACACGGACACATGATAATACATCAAACGCATGCACATACCAAGCTGACAACAGAGAAGTCCACATACGTGCTGACTTTCACAAGGATATAATCTCGGATGTAGGAAGACGATCACAATAGCGTGTTGACCCGTTCAGTCACGAATCAGTAAGGCAGCTTGACATCCGCACCGTCGGAACACAGCCCGCGACGGTGTGATCCTCAAAGGCTAAGACAAGGCACACTGCTGCATATACCCGTGTAGCAGGAGGGGGGGGGGGGCGGAAAGACTGATACTTAAAGTGGTGTAAATCACCGACAGGGTGAATGTTTTGGTCAGCCATACCAGAAGACAGGTTTCCATTTTGATTGATTAACAGTGACCACCTCGCGTACTTTCGGCATTGGGTCGTCCGAGTCGTTCAAATGACAAACCGCAGTGCACATATTCATCACTCCGAAACTGAGCTGCCTTTACCTACCACCGGACGACAGGCTCCACCCCGTCCCGACCGGTGACCGCACGCACCTAGGACCCGTACTGCGGCCTCTGCGGTCCGCCGTCCTCCTCGTCTGGCGTGGTGGCGATGCTGCCTCTCAGCAAGGTGCTCACAAACCCTGAGCTGACTCCAAGGAGGCGACACGGTGCAGCCCCGTTCCGTGCCGGCCCGAACGGCGCCAGAGAGCCGGGCAGTGCGCTCGGCAGCGGCAGGGGTGGCGGCGGCGGGCGGCGGCGCACCACGCCGTCCCACTCCGACTCGACACAGGCGGTGAGCTGCTGCAGTCTGGCGAGCAGGTGCCGCTCGTGCGCCTGCTGCGCCGGCCGGCCGGCGCGCGGGCAGTGCAGCAGCGGCGACCACCGGCAGTAGGCCAGCGTCCACAGCTCCAGCTGCGCCACACAGGCGGCCACCGGCAGCGGCGACGGCCGCTCCGCCGCGCCCAGCACGGCGCGCGCCGCGTACAGCGGACTGACGAACAGATCCCGGTACTCGGAGGGGAACTGCTGCTCCCACTGCCAGACGGGCCGGCGGGGCAGCGCGCGACGAGAGGACACTTCCTGGAACGGCCGGAGGGACACCAATCCGTCAGTGCTATGCCGCTTCTCGACGTGTTCCAGCGCTGAGCATGGTGTGGCGGTCATATCAGGTGCAACACCACATGTTAGCGTAAATGTGATGGTTACTCAGCTCAGGCAACTGTATGGTCTCAGAATATGCAGGTGGAAGAAGACAACAAAATAATTCGAAAATCATTCTTCACACATGACATCTGCAAAACTGAATTATTGTAATGCCAAATATTTCCCCAGTACGACTTCACTATCATATTTCATTCATTCCAGTTGCACCCTCCACCGCCTACTATGCCTCACCTTTCCTTCGAGGGCGAACACGCGCTGTTTCTGCGAGTTGAAGAGGAATGTATCGAACACGGGAACGAAGAGCGAGTCCCAGAGACAGACCAGGTAGGTGGCGGTGAACTCAAATTGATCTGGGTGCTGGATCACCAGCTGGTGAACGCAGTCGAGGAACAGCAGAAACACTGGCGACTGAAAACACAGAACAGAGAACAGTCACAATTGGTGAACACAGTCGAGGAACAGCAGAAACACCGGCGACTGGGAACAGAACACAAAACACGCAGCTGATGAACGTAGAACACAGCCTGGTGAAGACAGAACACAGCTGTTGAACACAGAACAAGCTGAAGAATACAGCCAACGAACAGCGGAAACACTGGACACTAAAGAGCATGGCGCACATTAGTGAATGGCGAGCGCTCATCACTGAAGGGTATGTAAACACATCAGAAGCCGGCAGTCTTCATACATCGTGAGACAAAGCAGAACTCGCTAGTTACTGGTAATGAGTGATCTGGTCGAAAAATCACATCTTTCCAGTGAATATCAATGCAATGCCATAATCACCCTCAGAGCCTAGCTGGCACAAAACTGGAAATCTCTCCCGCCACGTCCCCATCCAATGACTGTAGAGCCATAGGTCAGTCTACCATCATCCCGTCCCCCACCCACCTTTCTGCCGCCGTCGGGCGCGTACAGCAGGCCCAGCCTCTCCTGGAAGGGGTGTCCCAGCACCCCCCACTCCCTCTGCACCAGACGCTCGAACCCGGACCGAGAGCGGGTCGCCGGGTCGAGCAGCAGCTGCGCCAGACACGACACCAGAGCGGTCAGGTCGCGGCCGCCAGACTCTGAGGGCACAGAGGCATGGTGGTCAGGCTATGTCAGGCCACAGACACAACAGGCAGATACGGTACTACAGCAATAACAGGATCATACATCAAACCAATGCAAATAACCATTGACTCTCGCAGCTTTCCAGGACGTCTGGATCTGGAAGCTCATGTTTAGAGCAGTGCATAGGTACAGCCCGCCGGTAAAGTAATGTGCGGTTTTACCAATCTCAACACACATGGCTCTGACTGACGATTTTTAATACGAAGTGATCCAGGAGTAGACAACAAAAGATAGGCTATCATCTTCAAGGAAGATGACTACACATGTAAGCTACATTCCAAGTTTCATTCTAGTCTAGCAAATCATTCCTAAGCTACAGAAGCAAAGCATTACCAAGACTGAAACCGCACATTTACTTCTGTGGTGGACTGCAGTATTTGTGTAGTAAAGCGTCGTGACACATTTACTGCACACCATATCTAGAATGCTTTTCAACCACGACACCTCTCCGCGGTGCCGGGCCGTACCTTTGAGCACACAGGCGGCGCCGTCCTCTGTGATGACGTTCACACAGGTGACGGCGGCCTTCAGACAGCGGGAGACGAACCGCATCCAGTGGGTGGCTCCGAGCTGGCTCAGGAACCGGTCATCGCTCAGCTCGAACGCCTGCACGCTGTCTGCCGGGCGGCGGAGCGGGCGGTGTTATATGACAGGGTCAACGAACAGAATGGGGCAGCAGTAAAACAATAAAGATCAGACAAAGAGCAGCCGGATAGCGAAAGCAGTCATGCCCAGAGCAGTGGTAGATTAGTGGTACAGTGTATATCAGTGTATACCTATATGGCGATTAGAATATGACAAAAGTTTAGCGGGGTTGCGTGCAAATCACGTAAGTGAATGTAGATATGCTGTGTTTTTGGCAGCAAACCTAACAGAATGCCTACACACAGCACCACTCATATCAGTTCTAGATTCATATCAAAATCCATATTCCAGACGGAAGTAAGGATAAGATATTCCGACCGGCGACCCGTCTTATCGGCAGCCTACCACCGTCCGCTCCACGCGACCCGCCCGTCCGTCCGCGCCCGTCTCACCCGGAGCACAGAGCTGCCGCAGTTTACAGTAGCTCTCCTGGATGCCTTCGATAGTAGGACATTCGGCGCCCACATTGAGCACCTCAGGCTCCTTCTGGAACGGGTGGCACGCGCGGATACCATCCAGCACACGACGCTCCTCCGTGCTGGAAACAGCAGACGCCGAGCCGTGAGAGAGGGGACAGACGGGCGGCCCGCGGGCCGGCGGGGATCAGACTGGATAAGGATGAGACTGCATAGGTGCCGCTAGTGACAAGCGAGGCTACAGAGATGTCGCAGTGTAAGGCGCAGGCCAGCGGGTCAATGGACACTGTCAAGTTGTTTAAGGTTTCTTGAAATGAAATCAACGACATGACATGGCGGAAAGATTAAGCGCAGCTTCAAGCTGATAAAGTATTTTACTGAGCATTGCCCACTCAGGACAGTCATTCGAATGCCGCTTTCCCGGCTCTCCCCACCTCTGTCGGAACTCTGGGTGTGTGTAGGCCGACCGGACGATGGCGGCGCCTGCCGAGTTACCCCAGCACCAGACGGGCGGCCGGCGCTCCTTGAAGTGGCTGCTAGCGGCGACCAGGTCGGTGTCGAACACCCCCTTCGGCACGACCAGAACCTGCGGCAGGCTGCGGGGGCGGGAGCGGGCCGGGGGTCAGATACCGGGGAAGTGGGAGAGGGGAGGGAGACTAAAGAGATATTTAGTATTTACCTCTCTGCGGCACATCTGATAAACTTCACCTACCTATGGCACATCACCAAGCTACTGCACATCTGGTACATCCTACCATCCACCCGCGGCTCACCCGATACACCCCACCACCCCCTAACAGCGCCGCGTCACCTACCTCCGGCACATCTGGTACATCCTACCACCCACCCGCGGCTCACCCGATACCCCCTGCCAGCGCCGCGTCACCTACCTGCGGCACATCTGGTACATCTCGCCACGTAACACCTGCGGCACATCTGGTACATCTCACCACGTACACACCTGCGGCACATCTGGTACATCTCGCCACGTACACACCTGCGGCTCACCTGATACACCCCACCACCCCCTGCCAGCGCCGCGTCACCTACCTGCGGCACATCTGGTACATCTCACCACATACACAACTGCGGCACATCTGGTACATCTCACCACGTACACACCTGCGGCACATCTGGTACATCTCGCCACGTACACACCTGCGGCTCACCTGATACACCCCACCACCCCCTGCCAGCGCCGCGTCACCTACCTGCGGCACATCTGGTACATCTCACCACATACACAACTGCGGCACATCTGGTACATCTCACCACGTACACACCTGCGGCACATCTGGTACATCTCGCCACGTACACACCTGCGGCACATCTGGTACACTCGAGGGCAGATTGATGTTCCACCACTCCCTACCCATCGGGCTCCCATGGCTCAGCACTGGCTGCTGCCGGTGTTGCCTGCCCTCAGCACTGCTCAGCACTGTCTGCCAGTGCCAGTGCTGCCAGTGCTGCCACTGGCAGCAGCCAGTGCTGAACCATGGGAGCCCGATGGGTAGGGAGTGGCGGAACATCAATCTGCCCCCGAGTGTACATCTCGCCACGTACACACCTGCGGCACATCTGGTACATCTCGCCACGTACACACCTGCGGCACATCTGGTACATCTCGCCACGTACACACCTGCGGCACATCTGGTACATCTCGTTGGCGTGGCTGACCCGCCAGCCGATGGTACCCGTCCTCTCTAGCTCGGCCTGCCAGTAGTCGGCCGTGTCCAGCTCCCCGAACGGAGGCGGCGACACCGGCTCCGCACTGTAAACGACGACAGGCGTAAAGTTTCGAACGGAGACAGGGAGACGAGCGAGTTGGTTTCACAGTAACTCACCAGCTGCACGGTTTCGCTGCCAGACATGTATTTTAGCGGTGTGGCCAAAACAGAAAGGTGAGAACGAAATGAGGCATGCAAGCTGTTGGCAGGTTGCAGAAATCAGTACAATGAGTTACCCAAGTTGACATATTCAATTCATACTTTTCGTGACCATCGTCCATCTCCCACCCCACTGCCAGAAGCAAGGAAACACGCGGCGACCTAGCCACCAGCCACGCGGATCGCAAAGCATACCCAGACCGCAATTAATAGGCCGATCAGTTCCACGCTATCCACCCAAACGACTACGACCGGACCACTGCAACCAAGTGGAGCGCTCGAACTGCCAGATCACTGCCCCTTAGGACAAAACTGAACCCAACAGCTCAAGGCAAAACGGACTGCTGAACCACCTGAACCAGACCGCTGCACCCGAGTGGACCATTGGACCCGACGGACCACCGCACACACGCGGACAACTGGACCTACCGGTAGTGGAAGGCGAACAGCTGCCCGACGGCCACCGGCTGGCAGTGGAACAGCAGCGCGTTCGTCACGTCCACGCTCTCGTTGACGCCAGATAGTCGATAGCTAAAGGTGAACAGGCGGAAGTCCTGGCCGGCGGAAGACAGGTGAGGTTAGGTAGAAGACTGGGGGTGGGATGGTTGGAAAATAGCACAAAACAGGCTGGGATTGCTTATATATTTGGAGACATGGCACTATGAAAATAATAAAACTTAGAACACTTTTTGCAACTGCCAACTAATACTGTCCAAGTCTATCAAAAAGGCGTTTTTACATAGTAAGATCTGTCGAGTTGATGACTAGGTTATTACATGACAGATCACACAAAATCAGCAACAATTTTCGTCAGCAGGGACAATATATCATCTTAATGAACAATCATCGTCAGTATTCATATAGCATCAGCGCATTAGGTCCTACACAATTACACAACCATCATTACAGACTGTGAGGCCACATCACGAGCAGGAGCCCCGGCCACTGAAATTTCCGGCGCTGCAGACCCACCTTACAGCGTATCTGGATGCCCTTGATCTTGCCGGAGACGGTGGAATGGGGCGGCAGCGGCCGGGTCTTGCCGCCGGAGGAGAGCAGCTGGTGGACCGTGTCGACGTTGGCCAGGGTGATCTCGTGCTCGCCCAGCAGCAGACTGCGCGGCGACTGAGGCAAGAGAAACGGGTGTGATAGCGGCGGGCCAGAGAGCAAGACTGAGTGGGCGAGAATATTCTGTCCTCCCCATCCTCAGGACAAACCCACCCGCGTCCTCCCTCAGCTCCCTTCCTTCACAGGCTGGCGGTCACCCCCATCTGACAACTGGTGGATGAGGTTGGGTCTATTGCAGGACCCGTTAGAATCTTCCCCGGGCTGACCGTTAAGGACGGTCCCAACAGGACGAGCCGGTCCCGCTGGGACAGTCTCGTCTCCGCAGATCACTGTCGTTTTCCCGCACAGTACTTATCCCGTAGCTCTGCAAGGTCTTTTTAGGCGATAAGAGCAGGGCTAAAAAAAAAAATAAAGAGTGGGCGAACAAGGCGGGGAGAGAGAGAGAGAGAGAGAGAGAGAGAGAGAGAGAGAGAGAGAGAGAGAGAGAGAGAGAGAGAGAGGAGAAAAGAAAGAGGAGAGAGAGGGGGAAAGGACAGAGGAGAGAGAGGGGGAAAGGACAGAGGAGAGGGAAACAGGGACAGAGGTGAGAGACTGGGAGAGAGAAAAGGGCCAGAGGTGGGAGAAATGAGAAAGTAGAGAGGGCGGAGGAGAGAGATGTCCCGAGACATGCCATGGTTAGGAATGACATCATTGTTAACTTTCAGGAAGTTTGTGATTGCATTTGAATGTACACTCATTCTACAGTATTTTACGGTATTTTGATTTAAGAGCTCTGTGGTGCCATCTCGTACCACAGCGATGCATGTCAGTTTTTTCGCCTGAAGCCTTCTCAGCTTCTGTCTGATCGTAGACCCCTTCAGCACTGGGCTTTCTTCCTCAATTCTATGCCAACTGTGAAAAACTCGTTAAACAGTAATGGCAACAGGTCCAGCCAGTTCAGAAATGATGAAAAATGCTGCGATTCACAGTGAGTTATTGTGCTTTGTGAACAACAAGATCCAGTCAACACCATTTGAGATCATCGTCAAGCAATGCATTGAGTTTTACTCAAGTGAGCAGATTCAATCTGCCAAAGACCTCTTCTGGGACACAACGGTGTCTGTCACTCCTTTCTTGGCATCTAGAAAAGACTTGCGCAACATTAAGCGAAAAAACACTGGTGCTCAGAGCAAGGAGAAACTTGATATGGAGGACCTACTGAAAGTCATACAGGTCTGTGACAAGGAGGGTATTACCTTGCCTGGGTACTATGCCCTAGACTTGGGAAATGTCCCTCCAACTTCTGTAGAGCAGTTGGATGCAGCAGTGCTCATGGGACAACTTCAGGGAATGAAGAAAGACATTAGCGACCTCAGTAGTGCTATGTCATCACTCACTAGCACAGTGTCAACACTGAAGAAAGTGGATTCCACTGGCCAAGTCACTTCACCATCATGGGCTGAGGTGGCTTCATCTGCCCATGCCCCAGCTGCACCAAGCCGCCCGGTCTCAAACTGTCCAGTTCAGTCGAAAGAAGCAGAGACTACTGCAGCAATCACTGCAAGTCAGCTCAAGCCAATTCAACGTCAAAAGCAACAGCAACAATCTGTGCATCAACAGTCTGTGCATCCAGTCCAGAGGCAGACACAGATGGATGATGAGGGGTTCACCCTCGTCGGAAAGAAGCCCAACAGGAGAGCAGCGGTGAAGGGATCATGCGCAGAGACACAGCTCAAAGGAGTGGCTGCTCCGCCTAGAAGGATGAACTTATTTGTGGGCAGGCTGGACCCCGACACGACTTGTGAGGCAGTGGTTCTCCACATTGACCATATCATAGGTAAGCCCAGTAATGTCGAGGCTGTTGAGATCCCTCATTGCTTGGCATCCTACGGCTACAAGGGTTTCAGAGTGTCAGTCCCTGTAGAATGTGTAAACATGATAATGCAGTCGGAGAAATGGCCGATGCATGTGGCAGTAAGAAAGTTCTATCCACCAAGAGTGGGTAAGGCTGTGAGTCAGAAGTTAAGACGCACCACAAGTGCAGATAACATCTCCAGGTCTGGCTAGGTAGAGGGGTGAAGTCGGACAATGTGCTTTCCAAATGTTGCGTATTTGTTCTTTCAATTGTTGTTCTTTGAAAAACTCTCTATATGAATTGCATTCATTGTGCACTAACAATGATTTGATTTTTCTCCAAGAAACATGGCTGTCCAAATTTGAATTGTCGCTACTCAATGATATTCACACAGACTTCATTGGATTAGGAATTTCTGCCTTCAATTCACATAGTGCATTGTTAGCTGGTAGACCATATGGTGGTCTGGCTATTCTTTGGAGGAAAAGCCTGCAGCCAGGAGTTCGCGCTATAGCTCTAAATGAGCGTATAATGCAGGTTGATGTTCTGACGAATGTCGGAATAGTGTCACTATTTAATGTGTATTTGCCTACAGATTATCATGACAGTGACAGTCAAGATGACTTTGGAATGTGCATTGGAGAGCTTAGTTGTTATCTTGACATTGTTCGCACCAGAACTGACTATTATGGGGTCATTGGTGACTGTAATGCGAATAGTTATGGGTCCCGTTTCTTCTTAGAATTGTTGGACTTTTGCTTGGAAAACAGCCTGATAGTGTCGGATTTGTTCTTGTTAGAACCCACTACTTCCACATATACATATGTCAGTGCTGCACATGGTACCACTTCATGGTTGGACCATTGCTTGTGTAGTCCGGCCCTTCACCTTACCATTGATAGGATTTTCATTCACTATGACACAAGTGTTTATGATCATTTGCCAATGGTTGTGGAATTCATTCTCCAAGCAACCGACATTGTTATGCCGGAGCAAATAGCCCAAAAGATCCCCAGACCGCAATGGAAATCGATTACACGGGAAGAAATTGTTAACTACAATGAATTTATCGTAAGGGAGCTAGGAATACAATATACGGCTCCACTTCAAACGCTAAGTGCTGATTGCGGCCTAGAATGTGTTAATGAGGACCATGTCCTACATATAAGTAGTTGCTACTCCCGTTTAGTTGAGACTGTGAAACTAGCCGGATCTCATTGCATCAAGCAGACCGGAGGTGCTCGGCGCCATAGTCAGATTCCTGGATGGAATAGGCATGTCAAAACGAAGCATGCTGTAGCCCGCCAAGCTTTTCTTTGGTGGCGTCACTGTGGATCTCCCAAGGTAGGTCCAGTGGCTTTTCATATGAGACAGACTAGACTTGCTTTTAAATACTCCCTGAGGAAGTGTAGGAAAGATTACAGAGTCGCAAAAGCTAACAAAATAGCAGCCACTTTGGCTAATAAACGGCCAGACCAGTTTTGGTTCCTCATTAAGCAAGAGTTAAGTGGAAAGTCGAGTACTCCACTGAGCTTTGGTCTCATTTGTGGTCAGGCAAACATTGTTAAGATGTGGAAATCTCATTTTGCATCGATCTTCAACGATTTTACCTGCTGCAGTGATGATGCTGTCTTAAATGAACTGACAAGAGCACCACTCTCACATGTCCCTCCCATTGACCTTCAAGATGTCTGTGGTGCAGTAGCTAAGCTTAAGGGTGGAAAAGCCCCAGGCTGGGACCTTGTGTGCAATGAACACTTGTTGCACTTAGAAACGAACTTTCTCGGTGATTTGGCTGTCCTATTTAATGGAATGCTTAACCATTCGGCACTGCCAAGTGATATGATCTATTCTTTGTTAGTTCCCATAATGAAGGATAGGTGCGGTGCTTTAGATGACAAAGCAAATTACCGGGCTATAGCATTGTCCACTACTTTGTCAAAGATATTGGAACTCATACTTTTGGACAGGTTAATGCCTTTCCTAAGTACCTGCGATGCACAGTTTGGCTTCAAGGCGGGACAATCCACTACTTTTGCAACATACGCCCTTAAAGAAACAGTGAACCACTATACAAGTCAGGGTAGCCCTGTTTATGCCTGTTTTTTGGACGCCAGCAAAGCATTTGACAGAGTATCCCATTCTAAACTCTTCCGCATTCTTGCTGATCGTAATGTACCCCTACCATATGTCAAGCTCCTCTTGAGATGGTATAGGACGCAAAAACTAAGCGTCAAATGGGCTGGTAGTGAATCCGACGCAATCAACGTTCAGAATGGTGTGAGGCAGGGTGGATCGTTATCCCCGATGTTATTTAATGTGTACATTGACTCTCTTCTTACTGTGTTGAGGAAGCTGAAGATAGGCTGTTTCATGGGTCCAAGTGCCGTGAATGTGATTGCGTATGCTGATGATTTAGTGCTTTTGGCTCCAACTAGGTCTGCCCTTCAAATGATGGTACAAAAATGTGAGCACTCTGCATTAGCACTTGATGTCGTGTTTAACACAAAGAAGACAGTGTGTATGATGTTTCCGCCACAAAAGCCATATAGAAAATTACACCTGACCAATAGCCAGACTGCAGATATCTATTTACATGGACAAAAACTAGGATGGGTGCAGGAGTTTAAGTATTTAGGTCACACAGTTTCATGTGATTTGGATGATAGTTCTGACATGCGCAGAGTCAAGCGATTTATGTATTATAGTACAAAATATATGCTTTGTGCTAAATTAGGCTTTGCAGATAGGGACACTCTGGTTAGGCTCTTCAGGGCATTTTGTACAAGCATGTATGGCTGTGAGTTGTGGAGTATGCTGAGTGGGAAAAAGGCGATGCGTGAATTGTGTGTCGCCTATCACTCCTGTTTGAAGAAACTTGTTCATGTTCCAAGATGGACGAGAAACCACAACCTGTGCATGGAGCTAAAGGTGCTCACATGTCCAATGCTGATAGCGAGCAGGCAACTTCTTTTCTGGAAGAGAGCTACATCTAGTCAAAATAGCATAATAAATGATCTGAATAGGGCCATAGGCGAGAAAGGGCTAGTTGCACGCAACCATAGGAAAATCCGTACTGACTATGAACTGCTGGAACTTGATATAAATGATGTCAGTCGAAAAGATGTTGGCAATATGTTTAGTGCCCATTTAGAAAGAGTGGTACAAGCCCGTCTCATGCAGGTCTGAATTCGCTGATGTCAAACTGCTAAGCTGATCTATTCGTGTGCACAGTGCATGGGTGTGATGTGTGTAGAGTGTATATTGTATGTTGGTGATATTGTTATGTTAACTGATTTTGTCATGTATATGCACCGACTTGGTGCGAAATAAATGCTATTATTATTATTATTATTATTCTGAAAGGTATTGAAAAGAAATAATTAAAATTATCATTAACGGGACATAGAGCATGACCATTAAGCCGAGGCTGAGGAGATAATGAATGATCCCCCTTGTTCAATTCAATATCCTTCACCACTCCCTCAGCTTCATTCATTTCCCTTACAGGGATACAGCCCTGACCATTGACCCTTCCTCCTCCAACAGCAACCCACTGTCCACTGACCGTCCTCTCTCCATTGGTGCTGCTGCTGTCGACAAAGGCCAGCTTGAAGTTTGTGACCACCAGGCGGCCTCGGATGCCCTCTGCCTGCTCGGCCAATGGGAGGTAGAGCAGCACATCATTGGCAGTTGCCCTCACCTCCTCTCCTGGCAGGAGCGTTGGTAATGGCAACGAGTCCACCTGTTGGACAGCAGCAGGTGGGAGGGGGGAGGGGGGCAATGGGAGAGGTTAGCCTACTGGGATGCATCTTTTCCCTCGATCTCAATTATCCTCAGTAAATACACAAATCTGTCCAAGGAAGCTCTCATGAAAATTGCTTGACTGGCTGTCCACTACCAAGATGCATCAACAAGACTTCAACAAGCTTCGCTGTGACTTGGTGATTTCCTTGAAACGAACAAACTACAAACATTGATGGAATGTTCTTACAGAACAAAAACAAATAATTGATTTCTTTATAAAATGAAAGTGTACACATTCGGCCTTAATAAATGCTTAATTTTATTAAAGGGACCCTCCCACCTTAACATTAGTTTTGAGTTGAGATAGCCAAATTGGTGGCCATTGCCTGAAAATACCGGTTTGGGCATTCACAACATCGAAAATTGCTTTAATTCGGAGATATGGAATTTCAAACTTGCAGTTCTCGGATTCTAAGGGGCTAATGCATTGGTATGCCCCCTTAGAATTTGTGACGTCAGCGGAGATCTAACGCTTTTTTAATCTTTTACTAAAACGTTTGGCAGCACGCTGTGGTATATGCTGCTTTGCGCGCAACAAATGCCGCACTTTCAAATAAAGTCGCTAGGAACAGCGGAGATCCCAAAAAGTAAACAAAAGTAAAAGTCTAATATCTTGAAAACCGGTGAATATTTTTCGATGAAATTTGGTAGATATTCATTTTTGCTCTTTCTGAACCGAGCGACATCACTTTCATGCCAATTCATTAACTTTTTTGAAGGTGGGAGGGTCCCTTTAATGCCACTTACTCCATCAGTAACATATTCACTCAAATCAATATAACTTCTGAAGCTTTTCATTTCAACCAACCGACAACTTCAAAGTTCAACTTGAGATGTTATGCAAAAGGTATTGTTATATTACATGTGTCTTACTGGGAACATATTATACATGTCAAGTGACTTAAATAATTTTTAGTTAATCAATGAACAACCTTCCATGAAATATTTCCATAAACCCCGCGAAATCACTGCTCCCTCCACAGCTCCACAGTGTTTGTTTACATTTCCCTGGAATTAGCAGGCATTTATTGCGCACATGTTACATAAGTCTGTTCACCGCTTTCTGCTGTCAATGTGTTTGTCAAATTACACTGCGTTCGATGTTTCCCGAACGACGAAGATTCTACGCCGTCCGGCCAATCACGTTCCATAACGGCAGCCAAGCCCCCGCTAACCTTGAACGGGATTGGCCGGACGACGTAGAATCTTTGCCGCCCGAGAGACATCGAACGCAGGGCTAGTGTTAAAATCTACCGTAAGGTGACGGTCGTCAAGTTAGATGTAAGTGAATCCTAATCTATAATCTAAGATTCGGAATCAGGTGAGCCCCTACGATTTGGACCAAACCTGGTCAGTGGATAGTACGTAACGTCCTGATTACGATGCACCCAAAATCTAAGCTCGGCCCGCCATATTTACGAAGTTACGGATGTTTGAATTTCAAGGTCATTCGGGAGAGCCTCTACGATTTCCGTCAAAATTTGTGTACGGACACTCTAGATGCTCCTCATTACGAATATCACAAAATTTAAGCTCGGCCCGCCATATTTACGAAGTTACGGAGGTTTGAATTTCAAGGTCATTTGGGTGAGCCCCTACGATTTCCGTCAAAATGGAGATGCAGCCACCACGCACCATGGTCACCGCTTGGAGTGGGCGGTATATAGGGCCTTGGACATCCTCTGTTCCGTCGTTTCCATCCTCAGGAGACTGAAATCCTTCTCCTCCACGCCGCAACCCCCACTCCGACCTGGACAGGCACCATTATCTCATTCCGGCTGCTCCCTTGGAGCGGCACCGCTGCTCCCGAGGGAGCGCACCCCTGACCCCGTAGCCGGGTGCAGAGAGTACTTGGGGGGGGGGGGGGCGGACTGGTCGGCCTGTCCATTCGGACGGGCTCCGCCCCGGCGTCTCTAGGGTGTCCACCCAGACCGATATCTCCCCCTACTCCTATCATCCTTCCCGGGCTCTGAAATGGTCTTGTCAGACCGAAAGGGCCCAACCCAACAAAACAAAAAGCCATTGGCATGAGTTCATCGAAGGCAACGCGTGAAAATAAATGGACATCCCGACCCGACATTCGCTAAGCACATCCGACCCGATGAGCTACTCACCTTCACACGTTCAGCATTAGTATTCGTCCGGCCTCTGTTGACGGTAAATGAATTCTTCCGCATCAAAGCTTTGCCAATCATCTGGGATAACCTCTGTGCTCACCGCAACACTAAGCTACCGAATATCACCGTCGTCACTGGCCACAGCACACCCTGCCGCACCCGCTCACCGCCCGTCCGCCCCGCCTGACTGGCAGCGCCGCGCGGCGCCGACCAGTCCAGCGCCAACGACGCAACCGGTCTGTGAAACTCGACACTCCGTTTTCCGGGTTAGATATTTTTTAACAACGAGCCGCAACGTCGCATACACTGTACAAGGCTTGACTCACGCCTGCATGTCATGAACTCATCGCGCTTACTCGCTCATACATTGCATTCACTTACTGACATACTGCGCTCACTTGCTCAAACATTCTCACTAGCTCACATATTGCGCTCACTCGCTCACTCGTTGACTCATCACGCTCACTCTGCCCTCCCTCACTCTTTCGATACGGGCGTTGCGACAGAGAGGCTCGGGCGGGCGGCTCTGGGCCGAGCTCAGATGCTCAGTATGTGATCAGACAGAGGTGGCGGCCGCTCGGACCGGCCGGACAGCTCGGAAGACAGCGGAGACGAGGCGCGGCGCGACACGGCGCCCGGTTCGCCGCAGCGGAAACACGCGCAGCGCGGGCGCGGCGTCAGGTTCGCCGCAGAAGCGCCGCGGTTCGCCGTGCGCCGAGCCGCCTACAATAAATACGCTATATTAGAGAAAATATACTCCGATTCCGTCGCCTCACATGTGGTAGGTATGGTCTCTCTTTTGCGCTGCAGTGCCGCTGCGTATGTACAACAATGTCTTTGGTTTAACGTAAAATACTGACCCGGCGAGCGGCGACAGCTAGATCGCGACTAAAATGCGTTCAGATGGAAGTTAGTGGACCTTCTCACTCCTCTCACCCATGCTCTCACGACTCACGCGCCTTGGTCGCTCACTCTCGCCCGATAAAGGTTTCAAAAGCAGTCCCGATGCCGTTTCGCCCGCGGCAGCCGATGGCGGCGGCCGGGTGCGCATCCGCGGTGGAGCCGGGCTCGTCGCTACCCACTCCATTGCCCGGCGACTGCAGGTACCGAGACACCCCGCGCCGGCGCCGACATCGGAGACGGCAGACCCACTGCTCGCGCCAGGGGCGCCGCGGACCACTAATGCCGAGAAATATCACATGGACGCCCTCGCACAGCGTCCGCTCGTCCGCGCCCGCCACCTGTCTCGGCTCCGGTGGCTCGAGCGCTCCAGTAACTCCGGCCCGGGGTTACCCGGACCGTCCTCATACACTGGTCAAAAATGTACCGGTGACGTTCGGTTCCTCCGTAGTCGCCAGCTCATAGTAACCATCTTCTCGTCATACGCGGGGGCGAAATGAGTAGAAGAGGATTCTGAGACCCACACTGTTCGCTGGCTCATGAGGACGTCTTGCCGACCGACGGCCACGAGGCGACCGGCCAGCTCGACGCTCGAGGAAACTGTACAGCAGCTGGGTCGGGAGCCTGGTGTCAGTATTTGAGTAACGAGACCGGCCCACCTGTCCTGTCCGTCGGCTCCTGACGTCCTGGTGGCGGCGGCGCTCCGCCAGCGGCACAGAGAGCTCCGCCCGAGCCCGCAGATCTGTCATGATAGGAGTGTTGGTGTGTCGCCCTCACACGGTGTCCAGCGATCTCTGGAGGTGTTGATCCCTCCAGCACACTGCCGTGCCGCCAGGCCATCACTGACGCTGGATATGGCTTCACACTCCGAGTGATTCGCACATCGCCGGACACATAGCCTTCACAACGCGCCAATGAAACCAAACACAGCTTCATCGGCCGTCGCTCTCCCTCTCCTCTTCTCACACCACTCGCCCACATCCTCCGGTCCTCTGATCGGTCACTGGTCGGCCACTGTTCCGTCCCATTCAGTCCGAGTCCGGCGGAGCCCGCTCGGAGAGCAGCTGCACGCTGTTAGCCTGCTCGGCGCTGAGGTAGCCGCGCGACACGGCGTAGTCCACCAGCGCCGTGTGACAGAACACGTACTGGTCGGGCATCTGGATGCTGTGCGCGCGCTGCGAGCGCACCTTCTCGACGGTACCCTGCACGTCCACGGTGCCGACGTCCTCCAGGCGGCGTATGCAGATGTCCAGCGTGCACAGCGTGCCTGTGAGAGGGAGGAGGGGCAGGGGGTCAGTTAACATGTGGGGTGGGATTTTAGGGAGGATGGAGGCGACGAGTGGGAGGACGATGGATGCCCGACCTGCGGCGGCGGAGACAGGGAGGACGCGGAACATTTCCTGACGTCGTGCCCCGCGACGGCCCGCGTCCGGCACGTCGTTTTTGGGAGAGAGGACCCGACGCTGCGGGAGGTCTTCGCTGACCCGTGCCGGGTCATTGAGTTCCTGCGGCGTCTGGGCCGACTATAGAGCGCCCACGGCGCTAGACACTCTGGCGGGGTGCTGGTTTTTCCGGCCCTACCCATCGTCTGCGCCCGCCGGAACCCGTCTGGGGGCCTGCTGCCCTCCCTGCGCGGACGTCGCAAGTGTCGCCCCCGAGGGGGCTGGGGCCCTCCCGGACCCCCCATGTGGGCCCCACCGGGCCCGACGGCCGGAACGACAACAACAACAACGAGTGGAAGGGTAAAACGGGTGCGTTTCAACGCAATGATGGCTTTCTTATATCCAGCTCAGTTGAAATAAACAGCTACAAGAAACTTTCGAGTTTCGGTGTCATCTCTTTTGAGAAATTCAATAAAACAAGCATCGGCAGATCGTCACTAGAATAAAACTCGAGTTCCGTTCCACCCTCTCCCTCTCTTTTCATCCCTCTATCCATCTCCCTTCCAGTCCCTATATCATCCCCCTCTACTCACCGGTCCTTCCGATGCCGGCACTGCAGTGGACCAGGATGGGCGGCCCCAGCGGGTGGCCCGTCCACGAGGGCGACAGCTCGGGCAGACGGCGCTCCTGGGTCTCGCGGATGGCCGCCAGAAACCGCAGCATCGTCTCGGCCGAGTGGGGCACGTTGTAGTCGGGCCAGGCCGTGAACAGAAAGTGCGTCACCTGAGGTCAGACACACATACAAGCGGGTTAGGAAAGACAGTCACACCGGCACGAGCAGAGTGTCTTTGAACGGAGGCTTTAGGGCGTAGACAGACTGCGAACTTCAGTTAGCGATGTGATTTCGTAAGTGGCAAGTGGCTGTGATCGAGTGTATCATTATGGTTGATACTGCCAGGACTGAAGCTGCGTGCAAACTGCACGACGTCGGCTAAAACGTTAGCAGTCTCTGCACAATAGATCGCATTTTTAAGCGGACGTGGCCTCAGCAGATCCCGAACAGTTCGCAAAACTGCAAATGGCCAATAAACCGTCAGCCGGCAGCGGCTCAACGCGGCACGACTTTAAATCGTCCGGGAAAGAGAAATAACATCGCCGGTAGTAAACATTTCCGAGAAGCTAAAGAAGTTTGTGCTGGAGCCACACGAATCAGCCAGCAGCAGCCTCGGAAAATCGAACAGAGTCAAGGGTCTCACAATGTGAAACACTTAGCACGTCGCTGGCACGTCATCCTCGAACCTCGCTCGCCTTTTCCCTAGGCCACTCTACATCACTAAAACCTCAGCTGAATACTGAATCAGGCACTACAGACTACCATCAGGCGCCTCGCTCAAATCTGTCTTGTCTGGGTCTTGTCCGTCTAAAGCCTGAAACAGACTCTTTCCGCATTCAGGAAATCGCATGCGAGAGCCTATTCAAATACATTACCAGTATAACGCCTTTTGGGGCGACTAACGGAGCGAGCGAGAGGGTGGGCCTTGCGCGTGCGAAATTGCGAGGGGGTACCCCCAACTGACTTGTGCACGGCACCCTACTAACCGGTCTCTAGCGATGTGCCAAATTTGAGCACAATCGGCCCAGCCGTTCTCGAGATCTGGAAGCGGCACCCTGCACGTGCGCACGTGCAAAATGGGTCCCAACTGACTTTTGCACGGCACTCTACAAATCGGTCCCTAACCATGTACCAAATTTGAGCGCAATCGGTCCAGCCGTTCTTGAGATCTGGAAACGACCCCTGCACGTGCGCACGTGCAGCAGCACCCCAACTCTGGCACATGGATATGCATTGCCTAGTGGGTGCCTACCTACATGCCAACTTTCAGCGCAATCGGCCCAGTAGTTACCGAGATATTGCAACTATTAAAAAAGTGACACCTCTTCGTTTTGCACGTGGCACGTGCATAAGGGGTCACTCACATGCATCGGGAATAGTCCAATACTTGGTAGAAGGAATGAAGCTACCCTACAAAAATTACCGCATGTAAATCGGTCAAGTGGTTGCTGGGATATAAGCGTCGCAAAAGCGTGACCACGGCCGGCCGGCCGGCCGGCCGGCCGGCCGCTCATACTCAGAAATTTCCGTTAATCTAAGGAAAGACTACGCTCGCTTCGCTCGCTCCGTAATAATTCTTCTCGCATCAATCGCTTGCGGGAGGTGCGTGCGATTGATGCGAGCGTGCTTCCATGTATTTGATTCCATGTATTCTTCCAGCCTTAACGCATTCTGTAACTGTTGGGTTTGTGTGTTTATAATCAGATAAAGATGTTCAGACGCTACGTTTTCTCTTTCTCTTTTGCATGGCTGCTGCTATTCTGCATCTACCAACACTGTATTTGACAAGACATACGAGACTAGTATATATTCTCATGCTGCTCCGTACTTTCCCCACACTACTCTCAGTTTTCTCCCACCACCCACTCCTCCTTTCCTCTCTCCACCCCCTCTCACCTCTCTCGTCTGCTCGGTGCGTGTGTCCGTCACCAGTAGCTGACTGACGTTATAACAGTCGTGCTGCGTCACGCCCAGGTTCTCCACGGTGAAGAAGCCGTGCCGGGTCTCGGCGCCGAACTCGAGTGGCCAGTACCGGCCGCACTTGGTCCGGCCCTGCTCCACTAGTCGCGTGGTCATCACAATCAGCAGCACGCGCTGCTCCCACACCATTCGCCAGAAGTCGGCGAACGTGCCCGGGATCGGACCTGCGCGGGCACGGGGAAGGGTCAGAGCCGACTGCGGGAAGGGAGAGCTAGGAGAGAGGGGGAGAGAGAGAGAGAGAGAGAGAGAGAGAGAGAGAGAGAGAGAGAGAGAGAGAGGGAGAGGGGGGGAGAAGGAGACGGACCAAATACTAGTCTTCAGATTTCTTATTTATCCATACGAAATAGTTTCTCAGTATTAGTGTCAAACACTAGTGGGACAAGGAGAAGGAGACAACAGAACTTGCACCAGCTCGGAGTGAGCTCCGACAGGTAGAGAATTAGGATCCGCAATTATTAGTGCAGGAGCTGCGAAGAACGGAGCGAAAGAAACTAAAGGGTCGTCATATAAGAACAAAATAAACGTCAACAGGCCTATCAAAAATTGATCCTGAAGTTTCCACGTCATACACGTAGAATGTAATATATGCAGCGACCAACACTACCATTATTTCTACAAACACCTCGTTCACTAGCTAGCCACCTCGGCAGCTAGCCGCCAGCCTGTCAGCCCCCCTCCCACCGCCTACCTTGTGACGAGATGAAGGCGTTCTTCTGTTTATATCCGTCGACAAAGTTGGCGTTGATGTAGTCCGAGTTGGGGTCGTCGTTGACCTGAGTCAGCGTCACGCGGCTGTGGTCGTAGCAGAGCACGTCGCTGTACCGGTTCTTACCCCGGTTGGCCGGGATCCTGGCGGGGGTGAGACGGCAGGTCAGAGCACTGGTGAAGGGGTGGATCCTGGCGAGGCTAGGGTGTGTGCCATGATAGGGAGTACCTTGACCAGTTACAGTAATAAATAATGTAAAAAGATGTTGGATGATTCTTTAACCCTCGCCCGCACATGCCATTTTCCCATCCTAGAACGCACATGGGGGGGGGGGGGGTGGTTGCCACCCCCCCGCGCCGTTTCGTTCCTGTTGGAGATAGAGCTTAGCGGTAAAGACCAAAAAGATTCTTTGGGAAGAGACGAATCCAATGATACCCGATTTTACCTTCTCAGGTCAGTCATTGACCTTCCAGGTCAGGTCAAACTAAAAAATGTTGCTGTTTTGGGTCACCGTTGGATATCAAGTGCGCTGCTTATCATATACCGATGACGATGCCGTTTTCTGGTGCCAAGCCAGCTAGAACCTCTTTGTCACACTACCCGACCAGATTTTTGCTGCTGAGGTCATTTCAGGTCAAGTTAGGTCAAGGTCAGTTATATGTGTTTGTATGTCTGTGTGTGTCCTGCCGTCCAAAGGCAAAACCCATTATGTTACATTGACCTGTGACCTAACATAATGGTTTTTGCCACTGGACGGCAGCGTCTGTGTGTATACTGATGTGTGCACCGATTGTTTTTGTGTCCATATTACATGAAATCATGATCTGAGAAGCTTTTACCAAAAATGCAGTCAAAAAAACTTCACAAAAAGTAAATTCAGCTTGCCTAAAACGCAATTATCTTAGATGACCTAGGTTGACCTTGACCCTGACCTTGACCCCTGTACATCGTCGAACAACATGTTCCATTATGGGTGGGAGGTAAGACTGGCAAAAAAGGCCGAAATCAAGGTGTCAAAAGCTCACAAGGCCCATGGCAAACGCAAGATGTTGAGAATTGGCCATTTGGGTCATGACATGACCTGAGAAACAAGGTCATATCTCCGAAACCAAAAATCACAGAAACTTGAAATTTTCAGTGGACATCAAAAAAGGATAGAGGAGCAGCTATACCAAAAATCAGCCTTCTAGCTCTAAAAATGTTGAGTGCAGAGCAGAAAGACTACCTGGGGGGGTGGGGGGGGTGGCAACCACCCCCCCATGTGCGGGCGAGGGTTAAAGCAATGAGTGGTGTATCATATCGGTGGCACCACATGCAATAGTTAATCCAGGGCGTCAAGAGCTACTTATATTTAGTAGTAAGAACATACGTGCCCAAAGTTGTGACGCTACACGCTACACTAAAAAAAAGCACACAAAACACAAAAACAGTAGCAGACGACCCCTCTCCCCTTTCCAAATTCATTCCCCCTCCTCCCTCCACCCCGCAGCACTCACATCGAGTGGTTGAAGGTGCCGGCCGGCGGTCGCGACTTGATCTCCCAGTAGTCGTCATAGAGGCCGCGGCGGCCCTTGGTCTGCAGCTGCTGCAGCAGCTCGACCAGCGTGATGCCGCGACCGTCGTCCATGTGCAGACTGTCGTCGTCGCTGAACCCTGAGCTCTCGGAGCAGCCGGCCGGGTCCGGGGAGCCGCCGCCGCCGCCTCCGCCCCCTTCGTCGCCGGCGCCGCAGTGGTCACGATCGGCGGCCGGCCCCGGCGCCGTCGCGGGCGGCGGGGAGTCGGCCGGCCGGCGCTGCACGTTGCCGTCGCCGTCTGCCGACGAGAAGGAGGCCTCGGACGGCTCGCTGGCCACGCTGGCCGCCGTCGAGTTGTTGGCGTTGGCCATGTCGTCGGCCGCCATGCCCAGCCTCTCGCGGTCCAGCTGTGGGGCGACACAGAGATTAGGTCAGGCCGGATCGGCTCCCGGACATCGGTCAGAATGAGTGTGGTGATGCAAGCGATTGTCGATTGATCAATAGCTGACCATTTCATTTTTGTTTTAACTAGAGCGGTTATCATAGACCAGAAAACTGTAGTCGGACCAATTGCAGCGTTCCTCGCACTCCCCTCAGACAGAGCCACGTCCGTTTCCAGTGCTGTGTTCATACCTGGGTGAGGCTGATGTCGCACAGGTCACCATCCGCCCGGCTACTCATCGAACGGTGGCAGTCGCGCAGCCACTGGGCATGGTCGGCACGCAGCGTGCCACCGAACTGGGGCGGCAGCGACTCGCGCGCAATGTGCAGCGACAGCTAGCGGCACACACACAGCACACACACACGGCACACGGTTAGTGAGAGCAGCACACCGCCGGCAGGGCAGGGTACGCAGTGTGGGGGGCAGCGGGCGGCGTGGACGGACACCTGAGGTCGTACACCGCCGTACACAGCCGCTCGGCCACCTGACCGGGCACAACTGGGTAAATATGAATGGGCCGGCCGGCACCAGCTGTTGGTGAATGACTACTCCGAACTGAATGGACAGACGCAAATCGATCAGTGATTGAGTGTGATCGTCACGCGCAAATGTGCATGAAAGATGAAGAACAACCTACAAGCGATAAAAAAACAATGCATTAAATCAGCAACAATATAACATAAAAATGTGACTAATCCCTTTTGACCAAAATTTTTCATGAAATTGTAGCAAGGGAATGAAGGGAAGGAAAAGTACAGAAATAAAAAAAGCTGCATCTTGAGGTTCATCAAACAGCGCGGTCCACTGCTGTTCGGCGGTGTAGCAGAAAAGAGATTCGCTGCTGGAAGGAACTCGATAGTAGAGCTGGTAGAACAGGGGAGCTTGAGAGTCGTTGAAGAGATCCCGAGATAGATCTAGTGAGAGATCCAGATAGTGATGAGATCCTGAGATAGATGAGATCCACCGGATAGAGATGTAAGTATCCACCTTGCGTACAAATACATCTGATGGAAGATGCTTTTTAATTTAGAGGCTTGATGATTCTGTTCATTGTATAGACCATGATGCACGAGATGGTTCTTCACTGCTCGGATTAAGGATGGAGGGATCCGATCAGCTAGGTTTGCGGCACAGTTGGGTAGGTGAAGGACAGGGCATTTCGAAGTCCCGATGACCACTGCCAAACATATGGGTGGTAATTACATTGATAAATTGAATGTGATCATTCGTCCAGTCACCCATTCCTATATCACTGGCCTCCCCATTAAGAAAATTGCCCACTTAATTCGTATTAGCGTTGCTGGTTTTCAGTTGCCCTCGAGAATCATTTGTTCGACTGCCGTAACCGAATTCTACCAAATTCCTATCGGCCTTACTCTAAGATTCATGCGTCATCATTCTCACATCCTTGCTCGCATTACGTTCACATTTCATGTGTTCACCCAAATTTAATTGGTAGCCCCCGAAATTCCCTCCGATAGTGTTAGGCGTCTTACAAACCATGGTCTCCCCGGCGAGATAAATGTCTCTTTCCGAAATCCATATGCATGCTCCGCTAACCGGCGACAAAGATACTTATCGCAGGGCCGTCCAGAATAATTATACAAAAATATCCACCCTACTAATTTATGGGATTCACTTCACGTCCGATAGACTTATGGTACACACATACACGATTTATATCCGACTTATCTCTCTACCGGGAGAGATTACCTATGCCCTCTTCCGGTCCGCGTGTAACATTCCCGTTCACGACCCAGGGACCACCGTTCATATCCTGGAACTCTCCTCAGGAACTCTCCTTAAACCATGGGATTTACTCTTCAAGGCCTTACGTGTCCTGGAGTACATTCTTCCCTCCCCTGAGGCTGTCCAGTACTGATTAAGGTACCTTTACAAAATAAGTATGAGGACTTATTCGGGACACTACGGCTCGCTTTATTAGCCCTTTGGGTGACTCACCCCTGACCCTCGGCTTCTTGCCTTTGGCATAACTTACTCTCCACTGCACTGTGCCAATCTTCCCCCTTCCCCCCCTGCCGTAGAAACCTCTCACTGCCTTCTCACCCAGTGTTACCTAAGCGGGAAAATTAACAGTGGCCGGTACCACTGGCGGAAAACGTGCATATGCCCTGCGTACGTGACGGCGTGTCCCTCTTATTATTCCGGTCTGGACGTGGGTTTAGAGAAGTGCATCTGTGTCTCATACGGTCATGCTGGTAAACGCTACGCCATAGGAGACGGGCAAACAAGCCGTCTGTGCCTCACAATGCCCTGTGCCAATATTGGTGGAGTAATTATTGGCGCTAACTCTCAAGAACGCGAATAACAGAAACGCATCTAATCGTAATCTCAAGTCCTAATTGCTGCTGCACGCGTGAACCTAATCATCAGTTCTCGTAAACAATCCTAGCAGACCTTGAACCGCTCTTGATTTCATCAGATAATCTAGAACCAATTAGTACGCACCGATCTGTCGTCTGGTTGTGATCCACCGTATCATAGTGAATTGCTGAATGCTCAAACGGAAATGACTCCTTGAAACTCGTTCGATAGCTTCTGATGGGCTACTAGTTACCTAAACAAATTATCTTTATAGAGTGCCAGAATATTGTCATAGGGTCCCTAGCCTTTCATAGGGAATCTATTTTAAATCATCCTATTAGCAGTAAACAATGCGCATCAAACGAAGTGCAGTCCTAAATATCAAATAGCATGTCATATTTAAAATTATGCATTAACTGTTTACGTTCTTACCCCGTTGCAACTTTCCACAACTAACCATGCTCCTATATACAATGACCTTCACCTACCGCCCGCGCCCCAATTACGGCTAACCCACTGCCCCTGTTGTGGCTGCTTTTTACGCCCTCTGGCGGCTCAACGCCCGCGTCGAGAGCGACGATACTGGCCGCCGGCTGGCGTCGCGTCGACAGTCAGTCAAGGCCACGCCGCGATGGGCGCGTCATCACTCGCGGTGCAATGCTCGTGCGTGTTGTCTCTTCTGGCCGGGTGGATTCACCGGATGTGTCAGTGAGTGTGAATCTGGTAAAATATCGCTGCAATATCTCCCTGTTCGACATCTCATCAGCTCCATTCAACGTAAGTTTTTTTTTAAATTAAATTCCTGTCCCATTTAATCGTTCCCCAACAAAGGTGGTCCTTTCTAGTATTTATTCTACAAAAGCACAACGATCGGCACCTATATTAGTCGCATATTAGTTCTAACCACAAACAATTCTACATCTACCTGTTACTCGACATTTCGCAATTTCAATGACGCAAAGTGACCATCTAAAGTCGCTAAGTGTCAAACCGTCAACCTCAAACCACTGCTCGCAACTCTGCACCTAAGTAACAGAAGAAATTCCGCCGTAAGCTCAAGCATTCGTATCTGTCGGAAATCATAACTCATAGCCATATTCATAGATCGATCGCATGAATCAGTCGCCACCTTAAAACATTACATTCCCTTTCAACCGTATTTACCTGTTCTATAATTGATTTCGACTTCGCAATTAATTCCTACAGCAATATTACCAATGATTTCGCAATGCAACTTTTAGTGAGTACAGCACGAATCTAAACCCTTAATTTCACAAACGTTCCAACCTCAAAACGCACCTGGCCATCGCCCATAATAAATCGAACGAACCAGCTTGACCGAAGACAAAGACATTTCAACGCTGTCACACATCCAGTCATCAATCTCAACGTTCGTGACCATGAGCTGCTTATTCAAATTTTAGCCTCTCGCTCTGGGCCTAATCGTGAACTCCAACTGACAATAACGGTTTGCTGGCGACTCTGACATGACTTCGAAATTCAGATCCTAATATGCTACTAGGGTGTCTGGACCAATAAGCTCAAAGTAATTTAAGTTTTCCAATTCCAATTGAGAGTGCATTTTATGGCAACCGAAAATGTTTGGCAGTCGTCACGGCACGGCAACCGGGCAGAGGGGGGGGGGGGTCAAGGATTGGGATTGAGCAGACTTTTCAACAACACTCACATTCTGGAGTTTCTCTGCGCTTCCGCTTCTCAGTGTGGTCACAAGCGTCGGCTACTGTCCTCGGTTCTGATCACTCGAACTGAAGAGGCTTCTCGCGGGTGACCCCGGACTGACGGCGGCCTCCAGATGGCGTCTCCGGCTCCGGCTGCAGACTGTGACTCTCGGCTGCTCGACTGTGATTCTCCCTCTGGTTGGGTGGCGCACCCTTTTATAGTTGGGGGGGGGGGGGGGGAGGGGTGACTGCCACGCCCTTGCGACGTCATCTTCCTCTGCCTTCTTCTGGTGGGTGGGGCCGTAAGATGGCGCCCTCTGTCCTGTTTAGTCACCTTGCTCCTCTGTGCCTGCAATTTTTGGCCGTCGAATCGTCTTCGTGTTGAGTGCTTTATCATTTTAGTAATCGCTGACATAAAACAATCCACGAAAGGTTTGTGATTTTCGAGTTTTAATTTTGATTCTTCAATTTCATTTTATTCAAACTTTTGTTTCCTTCCGTTTCGTCTGCCGCCAACGCCCCTGTGACGTCACTCTTGCTCCGCCCACCGTACCGGGGCGTGGCCGTAAGTCAGCGCCTTCTTCCTCTGCGGAGATCTCTGGAACTACCTCATGAGGCCATTGTGAGGTCGGTCACCCGGCTATTTTGCCAGGTTCACTCACCCTGGGTTGCTGTGCCCGACAAAGGAGGCTGTGTGCTCCAGCCGGCATCCATCCTTGACACTGCTCCATGATCTGTTGACATATCTTACTGATCCAGCGTTATTTGAGGAGGCTCGGATCGCTCATCCTGCGGTAGCTGTCTCCATAGGCGAGCGTCGTAATGAGAGTTTAACGGCTGCCCATTGCGAAGACCTCTGGAACTACAGCGTTTTTGCTTGCCGTAGGATCTTTCTGGTTTTGCCATTCCCTCCGTGGGACTCAGCGCGGCGCAGCTGTTGTGGTACCTGACAGAGTACGTGACAAGTGACAGAGTACCTTAACGTGCTCGCTCGCCGCCGCCGCCGGCCGCAGTTCTGACGTAGCTTGTTGACTCAGCTGTGCCTCGGCGGTTCGTACTGATGTGACCGGCATCGTCTTCTCGCAGATGTGTCTACTGCGGGCTATTCTCACGGACAGTGCTCGTTGAGGGAGTTGGGGAAAAGTGCTGAATGGGGATGGCGGGCCTGGTGACGGGGGGGGGGGGGGGGGTAGTGAATAATGAGAGGGGAGGAGAGCGCAGCAGCAGCGCTCCGCTCAGCTGTGCGTCACCCGGTAGCAGCGACGGGTGTGTGAATGGAGGGCTAGGCCTGTGACCGGACTGCGAGGGGGGGGAACTGCCGTACCGAGCCG